TGACAAAGTACCACCTGTTCCCAGCAATAGCTTTGGGATCAGCTCTCCTTCCCACCAAGTGAGGAGCCCTCAGCTCTGAGGGATTCACATCCTCAGACTCAAACAGGCTCAGATGCCCCATGTGCTCTACTGGGCTCTGCAAGCTGCAAGAAGAGCAGCACAACAGGAGAAGATGAGGGGCTTGGACCTTTCCTGGCTCACCTTGGTGTGAGCTGAAAAAAAAAGAGGACCCAAAGTAATCTTTATGTTAAGATTATATTTCCCTTATGAAGCTCCACGAGAATTTCTGATTAGAATCAAGTGGAAGTTTGCGTGTTTGGGTACTTATATTTCTTAGGCTCCTCAACACCTCCCTTACCAAAACCTACTGTTTGGCCACAAAAGTATTTCTTTTAAAAAAACAAAGCTTGTACACAACATTCCCAGGTACTAAACACACCATAGGATTTGCTTGGCAAATTAAGTTCCCTGTCATAGGAAAAAGAGAATTTTTCAAAATTACTTTATGAAAATATTAAAACCTATTAGACTAAAAATGCCAAACTTGTAACTAAAAGACTTTGTGGGAGGGGATGGTGGACAAGGAGGTCTTTGCAGCCTTTTTGTTGTTCTGGCAGACGATTTACAGCGTTGGCCAAACACGTGGAACAGTCTTAGGGGACAGATTGCTTCTTCAATCCAACAGTGATAAGAAATAAGGTCCAAAAATTTCTAGACTTGAGAAAGAAAGGATTTTAACTGTCATTCTGACAGACAGTAGGATGCCCAAATGAGAGAAGGGCCAGTACCCAAACTGCCTCAAGTGGTTTAATCATAATCAGGATTACTGCAGGTTAGCAAAAGACCAAGAGATAAAGTTCAGATACAAATATTGACACAAAATTCAGTTTTGGTTCATGGTTCCCCTTAGCAAGAATCAGTCAGGAAGTTGCATTTTATTCTTAGGGATATTTGATTCATTAACTGACCTACAGAAACTCAGCATTAAGTTAGAAATTTTACAGGGATTTAAGGTTGTCATTGCTACTGGAAACCAGCCAGTTATTATACAGCTACCTGTGAAACAGCCCCAATACTCCTTAAATTCAATGTCCTCAAATTCAAATTGCTGAAGCTGGAGAGGCAGATTCTGCACAGGCTCATTAGGAAACCTTAGGAATTAAGTAAGACACCTTCCTGTTCAGAAAACAAAGAAAATAACTAACTGCTAGTGTTCTGTATCACATGCAGAACATGGAAAATCCATGCAAGTCCTTCAAGTATCAAGCAACTACTCATGTCCACTCTGTGGAATCAGCAGCAGCCTCACAGCCAAGCAGCTCTGGTTTCCCTCCCAATTTTTCAGCCATGTCACAGCACCGGGAAACATTTGCTATCTTCCAAATGTTTCTCCACTACAGCAGGGAATTGTTTTATTGTCTATCAGAGAAAGAAAAGACAATCCCCATAAAACATCCCAGACAGCTGCCAGTATTTCATCTAACTGCTTGGAAGAAGGGGGAGATACAGAAACATTTCATACAATGGTCACATTAAAACTCCAAATAACAATCCAAAGCCACGGGGTAGTGAAGGTGCTGTGGGTAATCTGTCCTAAACAAATGAGCTGATTTCAGATAAATAGCAATGTATTGATCTAATTCTGTGCACGGTGCAAAGATTTTCTTTAAAACCTTTCAGAATCTTGTGTGGGGAAACCACATTACAAGGACTGTTTTCATGCAAAAAATATGCATGTCCTTTATCAATCACACGATGAATCAATCAGACACTGGAGATGTAATGTTATCTCCCAGCACTAAAGCTGTGAGGGAAATGCCACGAGCTTCCCAAAAGTGGTGTCAGGAGACAAGGCTGGGTTTTACCAGCTCAGCTCAAGTGTTGCATTCCAGCTCCAACCAAAACCTGGGACTAATATCATAGCTCTGTGGTGGAGCTTATTAAGAGAAACTGGGTGAACAAACTGAGCAGAAATTTGTAGGCAGTTGCCTGCTCCCCTGCCAGATCTACCTGTTCCCCTACCAGCCCTGCTTGTTCCCCTGCCAGCCCTGGGCATCAGTGCTGCTCTCTTGAGCCTAGAAGGAGTTTGTCTGGGCTCATCCTGTGACACAGGAGGGCAGCATCAGGCTCAGGAAATTCAGGAAGCACTGTACACACTTCCCACTAAGACACCGTGCTGGCCTAAGTGAAACCATTCCTAAAAGCAGGGGTCATGGTGCCCTCCCTACAAGGAGGCCCCTCACAGGGCCAGGGGGTGCTGGAGGGATGTCAAGTAAGATGTCATAGGAGAGAAATAAGGTTTGGCATGTTGGGGCTTGGGGAGAGGCTGGTTTTCTTCCAGCCCACACATTTTCTTGTCCTGGACCCCCAGGTCAACACCATCCTCCCTGAGGTAGATTCCTGTGGCCTGGAGGTTTCAAGTTCAATGCCATCAATGAAGCTTTTACATCTCTGGCACTCAGTGGGTCTGGGATGGAGCAAATGGAGATGACATGGCAGCTGGGAACAAGAGATGAGGATGGAAATGGGAGCCTGACTCCGTCTGCCTTCACCTCCCTCCCTGCACAAACCTCTCCCACAGCCACAAGGACAACCAAGAGCACTGCTGAGGAAAGTGTAAGGCATGTGAAGGGTTTGTTCTGTGCACATGTCTCAGTCTCTCTCCTCCCCAAGGGCAATATAAGCACTGGACCCTAATGAGTCACTTTTCATTCCATTTGCTCTGGTTTTATTTTTGCTTCTCACCTTCTGATCCAGCTCTCATATAACTAAAATCAGAGGGTTACTTTTATTACCTCATTTGGGCACTGATCTTACAAGTTGGATGAACCAACTCACCCTTGTAATAAGAAAGATGAGACCATTTCTGGTTATATCCTCAATTTTAGGGGGGCTGCTATAAAAGCTGAAGAAAAGTGAGGAAGGAAGAAACCACAGGCTGGTCTTGCCCATTGCCATTCTCTGAGCTCACCATGGCCATGCTGGGCTGAAGTTCAAAAGAGCAAAAGCAGAAAAGCCCTTCAGCTGTCCCCAGAGGGAGCAGGACTGTGGCAGGAAAATCCAGCTCTGCCCATGGGAAGGATGAAATTCCACATCTGCCTTTGCAGAACAGGACTGCAAAAATCAGGGGTGAAACAGTCTCCAACACTGGCAGAGGTGAGTGTGCCCATCCCATCCCATCCCATCACTCCTGTCTTCCTTGGAACAGGTTGTTGTGGTGAAACCAGACTTTACAAGAAGACAGTTTGGAGAGTTGAGAGACAACTTCACATCCAGATCATCCAGCAAAACAGGGATCTTTCTCCAAAATCCAGAACAGGAATGCAGACAATACCAAACAAATGCAAGCACCTTTTTAATGGTGCCAGCTATTATTGAATAATAACTGAGTTCATTAGACTGCTACATAGATCAAACTGAACTTAAATTAACCTTGAAAAAAGAAGAATCAGCATATTTCTCTTGTGTCCAGCACCAGCATTCGTGTACTGTTACTTCACTCTCCATTTAATTGCTCCAGTCCATTTTTGCACAGCATCCACAGCTTTTCAAACAAAGTGGAAGCCAAAAGATTGATAAGGGCCTTGCTGGGCTGTGCTGCAGAAGGTCTCCTTGCAGAGACACAGTCTCTCACAACAGAAGGCAATAACTCATTTCCCTCCACGAAATTAAACCCTTTGATGAGCCTGCTCCCAGCTTGGGTCTGTGTGGGAGCAGAGGGAAGTCAGAAGGAAACCCATCCCAGCAACAACACGAACTGCCTGAGTGCAGCACTAAATCAGAGATGCAACACAGCACATGCAAACCTCCCAAGGGGAATGGGGCAGGTGGGACCCCCTTCTCCCTCCACAGAGCCCTGCAGGCCCCAGCTGGTGTTCCAGCACCCCTCACACGTTACAGACACAAACGCAGAGCTGCCCAAGCCGGCTCGGTGCGGGCGCGCTGATGTCAGGACAGACTTTGGTTGTCATGTTCCAGAGAGCCAGACACAGAAAATCCTGGAAAGTGAAGAAAGGTACAGCTGGCCACAGGCTGAGCAGGGGAGGGCTGATTTACGTGTCTCTGAAGCCAGTCCCGTGTCTCACTTGCATTCGGGACTGCACACGCAGAGGTCAGTCCCCAGCCCCTCTCTCCCCCTGCCAAAGGACACCCACCTGCAGCTCCTGCTGCTCAGAAAACAATCCAGCTCACCTTTGTCCTCTGCACTACACCAGTTGTTTTCACTCCAATAATTCTGCTCCCCAGAATTTCATTCCCCCCACCCCTTCATTTTCCTGTAATGAAATATAACCGTGAAGGCTTTGATGAAGTTCCAGACAACATTGCTCACTTCACTTCAGCACAAACAATTCCCACATTACCATAATATCATGCACTGGCCTCAAAACCCCATACAACCACCACCTCCCTCCTCAAAGGTTTCTCCCCAAATTCTTTTATGTCATTGATAAGCATCAGTTAATGAATAATAACAGCAGCAAATGCCTTACAAGGACCAAAGCACGATAACTAACAGCCAGGAGTGGGCTGTCACAGGAGGGACCACAGATCAAAGGGGAATGCTGACTCAGCTGCTTTGTTGCCTGACTGGAACAATTTATCTGAATCCCAGTAGGTAGAAATTAAAATGATTTGCAGAAAAAAAACCACAACGTGAAGGTCTCCCCTTAACATTTGTCTCCACTAAGGCATGCATGAGAGCCTCCCATCTTTCAGGAAAGGGATGAAAAAGCAGGAGTGGATTACACTTGAAGAGCAGGCTAAGGAGAAACTGTTCAAACCTGTATGGGAAGGGGCAGGAGCCAGGCTGGAGGTGAGTGATGCCCACGTGTACAGCGGTGCTGCCTCATTTCCTGGGGCAGAACCACCCCCACAGCGTGTTCCTCACTGTGGGTGGAAGAGCAGACACCTGATCTCTCCAGGGCTGCCAATTCAACCTGTTTTGCACCAGAAGCTCTTGGAAATTTTTGCCAAACAGCAGAATAAAGGCAGGTCCTTACCTTGGCCTCAAGCGTGTTCAGCCTCTCGGTCATGTCCGCCAGCCTCGTGCAGTTCATGCATTCTGGAGGGAACAAAACAGAGGGATGTAAAACTTCCATGGACTTTGCATTTTAATCCACAGCTTCAGTTTGCAGACCCTGATCCCTTTGATCCAAAGTGAGTCAAGATCAGCTATAGGGCAAAAATAAGTATTCAAGTCCACTGCACAGGTCAACAGCCACAGCCACGTTACATGAACCTTGTTTGGGGATGTTTGGTGGGGCAGAGAGGGAAATTAAGTTCCCAATAGGTAGAAGGCAGATGAAATAAAAATCAGATTTAAGACTTTTCACTGTGCCAACCAGCATGACTTGCTGTCATCAGCAGAGACACTTGTTCTGCCCCTGGGGCATGCTGGTGTGCCATGTGCTCCCACCTCACAGCACACCAGGCTGCACCACCACCACTCCATTTAGGACCCTCTCCTATAGCATTGTCCTGGTCAAACACCAAGGAAAGAAATGAACATACAAAATGCCCACCCCTCCTGCTCCATCCCTGGGCTCCCGGGACCTGTTACCACTCCCACAACAAGTCAGCTGTCTCAGTGACAGCCAGAAGATCCAAGGCAGACCCAAGGGCTCTGATGCAGCCCAGAGCTGCAGCATGAAGTGGTTTCCATCTCACTTTGCTGCATGGAAGCAACTGATAGGCAGCAGCCACCAAAGGAGTCCTGACAGGAGGCCTCAGTGAGAGCAAACATTACCAGAATGGGCTCTGAGTGCAGGTTAAATGATTGCTCAACACAAAGGACATCCCTTATCTAAACAGAAGGCCTGCTGCTTTGCCTCTGTTTTCATCTCTGCAATGTTAAAGTGAGTGAAGGAGGATAAAGCCCTGAACTGAGGTTTAATCAACAAGGTGCTTTCCCAGTGCTTTGCAGTAGTGTGGAACTGCCCATTCCCAGCCCTCAGAGAAGCTTTCCAGCCTGGACCACTCACCTATCATGACAGCATAAAGTATTTCAGAGAATAAACCATCCATGTTCAGGTGAGGAATCACTGTCATCTCACATCCCACAGAGGAGAAACACATCTCTGTGTGTGTTTTGTGCTCCTAAAGGGCCAGATCTGGTTTTCATTGACTGGCCATAGAAGTATTTAATTCTGGTGTATTTAATTTAATTTCATTTCCATAGGGCTGGGGACATAAAACTGTAATTCTTGAGCCAAAATAGACCATTCAGGTACAGCTCAGGCTGAGGTTATAACAATGTAGGGTGCCATGTCCAGTGCCTCCCTATGGCAAGGAATGGGTGAACATGGATTTTGGCTTGACTAAACATCACCCCAACACTTGGATTCAGCTGTTCCCCCATCCAGCTTTGTCCCCTGTTGCACAAGGAGCTCTGAGGAATCTCTCCAGTCTTCACCCACAGACATTTGCTGGGTTTATGAAGCATGTGGCACCTACCAATGGCTCTCAGCCATGAAAAGATTTGAGCACATGGCTTGGAGGGCCAGGGAGCTCAGCTCTTCCACCCTGGTGATTTACAGGCTAAGAAGATTGCTTGAGTGCTAACAGCAACCAATCACCCACTGCATAAATCTTCCAAAGGAATTCTCTCACTGGCCCTCTGTGAGGAGCTGTGCAGCTTCCCAAAGGAGCCAGACATAGAGCTTCCACCTCATAATACACAACATTTTGCAGACAAAGCATCTGATGCTTCAGGAACACTCAGATGGAGGGATTTCCTCACAGGTCAATACTGACAGGGCTTTCTTTTACCCAACAGTTGTTTATTTTTATTCTCTGCAATAGATCTTGGACAATATTTTTGGCTTGAATTGGCCCATGAATACACAAGAGCCATAAGTGCACTGTCCCAGAGGGAAGGAAACGGGTGAGGCTTGTTTGGTCTGGATCTGTTTGTGGTGTGCAAAACAGGGAATTACGTTCTGCATGTAACCAGCTTCAGGCTTTTGATCTTGCTCATCCCCACAGAAAGATAAGACTGAATAAATCCACTGCTCCCAGGAGCCAAAAGATGTACCAGATGTGTTACAGAGCAAATAAAATACGGAGCCCTACTCTCCCTCCTGCTGGCTTGCACGTATTAATAACTCCCACAGGTTTAGAGAGATTGACTTGAGCTGTCTGAAAACCATCTCTGTGCATAATTTGAGATGGATTGATCATTTAAGCTCCCTTTGGAGAGTCCAGCTCATAAAAAGGGGTTTGTACTACCCCTCTGCACTGGGGTGAATCAACCAGCTCCCAGGGGGAAGGACACTCTGCTTGTCTCTGCTGGACAGGGAGCAGGAACAGCACCAGTCCAGCAGCTCTCTCTGCTCTCTAAGAGTGTCTCAAAGAGCCCTCTCAGGTGCATTTGCAGCAGAAAAAGTTAGATTTAAATTAACAAAATGACAGAAGGGAGGAGAAAGCAGCAGTATCACTGCATGTGAGATTTGTACTAATATCATCTCCATGTCAGTGATGCCTGTCAAAACATACAGAGAACACAGCCCAGGTCAGAAAAAGAACTACTTAAATTCAAGCTGGATTTGAACTCTGATCCTTTCTGTTGTGAAATGCCTGGAAACCCAGATCCACACCCAGGGTACTTAGCCTGGACCCAAAAGACATTTAAATAATCCAGAAAGTGGATGTCCTAATGCCAAAGATCTTCTTACTAAGGCAAACATCCTGCCAACAAATCCTTGTGACAGTTATTTAGCTGACCAAGAGATGAATGATGCTTTCAAACACAGAGATGAATGCCCAGGACTGCAGTTTCAGAAACTACATTCAGAGCTCACTCACCAGGGACTGCTTCAAGGTCTGGGATCATTATCTGTCCTTGCAGAAAGCCTGAGAATGGTGGTGACAAATCAGGCTAATAAATATCTTCCCTGGCTATGATGCACTGAAGTATTTAGTGTCTAATCCTGATGGTTGGTGGATCCAAGGCCTGGGGCTGTGAAGCTGAATTTTCTGATCAGGGTGAAAGCAATCTGAGTTATTAAAATGACCTTGAGAATCTCACATCATTACTCCTCATGGAACAAATATAACACTGGGGCAAATGCACACACTCTGTGACCTGGGACTCCAGAGCAGACGCTTTCCATATCTGCAGAAATCCATCACTTGTTGCTACACAGAACCACAGTTTATTTCCCTTATATTCCTCGTTGGCAGATTTGTATTTTTCCAGCTAAACTCTGAGAAAGGAGTTGTGATTTCACTCTCTGAATCCCAACCTCAAAACACATGGTAGGATTTGTTTTAGAAATATTCCAGCAGGGAGGATAAATAATTGAGATAATGAACACGGGACAGTTACCAGCATATTCCATGACACCCAGTCTGTCTCCACCACGTCTCACTGTTACTGTCCGAGCCACCTTTCCCTTCCCATTCCCCCTCTCTGGCTGCAATGCAACTGGAGGGATGGAAAAGTGCAAGGTAGCAGAGATGTGGTAGACTTCACATGCTGGAAAATAACCAGGCATGAAGCCCATGCCAGCAGTGACCCCTGACCCAAAAGGTGCCACATTTGCCCCATCTTTGGTTAAAGGCTGAGCCAGCACCTCCAGAGCTGCAGCTTTGCCAGCTGGGATCGGGTCCTTTTGCCTGCAGCTTCCACTCTGGATACACTCCTACAAGTGACCTACAGCAGTGAATGACTGGCTTCAGGTGCCCTGCTAACTTGGCATCCCTGCTTTGCATAATTTCATGATTAAACAGTTGCACGTTTCAGCTGCTCGAGGCAGAAAGTCCCACAAGTGTCCAAACTCCTCGCTCAGATCGTAACAGGGAAGGTGTGATAACAGCTCCTTACCAACTGGGCTCTGATGAGCCCAGCACACTTATCACAGGGGCACTGAGGGGATTAAAAAAAAAACCAGCCCAACTTTCACCATGGGGTCGTAGGTCAGTTTTGTGCAAAACAGCAAAGAAACCTCTTGGCATCTCTGCCCCATTTCTCAGCTCCGACAGCCCACGCTCATTTGTATACCCAGAGTCTCTGCAGAATATTAAAAGAGCTTTTGGTTTCCCTACAGCCAGATGCTCAGTAGATATAAATTGCACAGCTCAACTGAAGTCAAGGGATCAAGGCTCTGTCTCTCTTTTTCTTGATGGATTACTCCAAAATTCATGTTTCAGAGGGGAGGCGGAGGAGGTGGTTTATAGCATATGAAAGGGGAGAGAATTCTGGAATCACAAAGCCTTTGTTTAAACAAATAAATTCTTTGCAGCCAGTTTTTTCAAGGCTGTATTTTGCCATTACAAGAAACTTCAACCTTGCAATGCAATGGGGCGTAGCACAGAGTCAGGCTTGGGGACATAAGAATCACATTTGCAGCTCATGCTTCAACCTGCTCAGACTCTAAACAACACACTTTCCTCCTCCAAGTCTCACTTTCCTTTCATCCATTGTTAGTTTAATGTAAAGGATCCGAGGTCAGAGCATGAAAAAGGACCAAATGTAACATTTACACAGAGAAAGAAATTAGATATTTGATTTTTGTCAGACAACTCGCCTGGCAGCTCTTCTCTCTCCCTCTAATTAAGTCCACCACCTCCATTGCACTGCTCAGAAATGCACAAAGAGGACAAACTGGGTTATCCCCAGGGCAGGAGGAGCAAACCAGAGCTGCCTCATGGCCATGCCAACAGCCCACGTTGGAGCCCCGGGAATGCAACAGCAGCTCCATGAAACCCCACAGCTCTCACTGTGCCTGCAACTGCCCCGCCAGCACTGCCCAGAGCAGGGCTTGTGCACACCACAGTTATGGTTTGGGGGGCACTGCCATAAAAATCAGTGACACACAACTCAAGCAGGCCCAGTCTGAAGGAGGTTTTGTCTGCCAAAGCAAGCAGGAGACCAGCTTTCCTTAGCAGTTTCCCCTGTACGAGTTCAGAGTAGCCTCTGAGCAAATCTGGAAGAGGATTAGTCTAAATTAGCCCAGGTAACCATGTTTCTTTGCAAAGAGAAAAGGATGAAGCTGGAAACTCCCAAGGGAAGTGGGAAGTACAGCTTGCACTGTCAACTCAGGGAGCACCCGGGATCTCACACACCAGACATGTTACATTTGGACACTCCTGAGAGAACCCACCAGACCACTGACCCTTCCATCCCCTCACTGCCACACACAGGCTCACAGTTCAGCCAGAAAAAAAGCAGTGGCACTTTCAGACACTGGCACAGAAGGAATTTCAAACCAAATTCCACAGCAGAAACACGAACACAGATCTCCCGTGCTTACCTAGGTGGCCCTCAGTGGGGGACAGCCAGCCTGGGCCTGCATCTCCACCTCTCTTTAATTTGTCTGATCTGACCCTTCCAGCCTTTTTACATGGTTACTGAGTTTCCTTAAGTAGTTTATGTTCTGGCCCTTTGCAAAAGCTTTCGCCAGTGCCTGTGAAGGATAGCAGGCCCGAGCCATAAATCACAGCCAACCTGGGATCTGTTTTTTTCAACACATTTCCTCTAATGAGAGTCAGATGTTGGCCAGATAGACTATATTAATTGTAGTTGTTTAGAACCGGTCGTGTCCGTAGCTCTGTCATGGGGTTTGAGCACGTGAGAGGCAAAGGGCTGACAGCAGCCACGGAGAGGATGAACACTTGTGTCACCCAGTAGCCTCTGGTCTGAGGAGCAAAGTTTTGGGAATCAAAGGTTTGGGGAAGTGCAGGAGGGAAGGGCTCCCACCAGCCCTGTCCATGGTAAACTGGAGCAGGATTGTTTCTCTGCAAGGGGAAGCTCTCAGAGTGTTGTTTAGTGTAGGATCATGAAGAAGACTCTGTTTACTGCCATGATATTTACTTGCTGTGAGCATTGCAAATATTCACCTTTTGGCAAAGACAGGGGAGGAAAGGGTCTGGGCAGGGTCTGTCAGAGCTGGGACACTGGGATAGACTGGCCAAGGCACCCAACCAAGAGAGGAGCTGCTGGTCCATTCCCAACCCATGTGTCCAGAGGGGAATTCTGTGTCCTGGCT